GGTAGAGAATTTGATATTTCCTGGCTATCCACATCTGTTGCTAAAGCCAAGTTTTAGTTCTTTGAAAAGCTATTGCCTGGCTTGTCTTCAAGGAACACTTATTGTGTCCCATCTTAAATGTGAGAACTAACCATGTACATTGTGTTCTTACATTATTATACATATGACTGGTTTATACAGATTCTTTTTCTGACTAGGTCTAATATGAAAATAAGGGGGGGGGGGTCTAGAAAAAAATGTTTGTAGCAGGGCTTCCTGCATTCAGCCATGCTCAAGTGACCTTTAAGGACAGCTCTCATGTCTCTGAAGTTTGCAGGGTGGAAACTGGAGGCACGGTGGTCAGATGTGGCCATCTATGTACTGTGCTATGTAATGGGACCTGATTTAATCTAGTCTATAATGTCTGCCTTTTGCTGGTACTTACAGAGGAATATTTGTCCAAGGCAAGCTCTTCAGCTGTTAATTATATTCAAATTTTTCAAAAAGCAAAAATCTCTGAATTTCCCAGACACTGGCTGTTACAGTACCTGAGACTGTACTTCTGATGGGTGTAAGATAGCTTCTTAGTAGTACTAAATCTTCTTCTCAAATCCATACTGTGATTAAGCTGAATAGGTAGACTCTCAAATTCCATGGTAAACAGGTTTTGCAGGTTTATATTTTTTGGTTGTGGGTTTATTTTTTTTGTTGGTGGGGGTTTCTTTGGTTGTTGTGTTTTGTTTTGTTTTAAATTGCCTGTGACCTTTATTTCTGAATTCTCTCCAGAAAGGCCTAGTAAAGAGATGATTATGTCATACCTATATCAGAGAGTTGGTTGCTTCCAGGAAGTTGTGTTTTGTAGGTGCTACAAAGTAGGTGCTAAAGCAAACAAATGGGTCTCACACCTCCTGATTTCCTGAGCAGCTACCATGAAATAACACAGTGATCTTTCAGTTACATCTCTCTTCCTTTCTGTCCACTTGCAACCTTGAAATAGGCTGATCTTCAAAACAGGAATTCCCAGTCAGAATTTGCATCACGAGCTGAGAAACTGGTCATGACTGAAAACTAGAGGAATCATCAGAGTGGCCACTCAGCACAGATGGGAACTGTTGTTACCTCCTGCCCTGCCTTTCAGACCATAGCACCCACTTCTTCTCAGGGAGACTTCTCCAAAAATTTGAATTTTGGAAGCAAATCCAGTGCTCCAATTCAGAGACAACTTCCTTAAGCACAAAACTATAAGCTATTTTGAGGGTTACATTACTGCATGTCCTGCTCTGAAGCTGGATTACTTTCAAGAATGCATGAGTTATAGGGCCAGGAGGTCGGTATGAAAAAGGGAACCTACGTTGGTAGGTACATTATGACACAGTAATTGGATACAAAGAAGAAATAAAGCTAGGGGCAGACACAGTGATCCTGAATCTTCCCCTCCTAGTAGTGATCTGACCTCTGAATGACAGCTGGGTTTTGAAATTCTTCCTTCCATGGCCAAGGATTTTTTACACTCCTGGGCCTGATAGCCCAGCTCCAGCACCTTGGGTTTGATGAGTTTATGAATTCACACTTGATGCTGATTTCCTTGTCTCAGGAAGGGAAAAACTTGCCATGTGATATGTAAATTCAGCCAGACCTTGTTGGGTGTCTTGTTTAAGGTGAAGTTATTCTCGGCTCGTGCACTGGAAAAAAGGTGTGGGGGGAACTGGCAGCAGCTGGCAACAGTGCTTGAAAAAGATGAAAATTGTCACAAGGGATCTGCCACTAGGTCTACTATGGGCCCCCCCCAGTGCAGCAGGAATAGGGGTCCCAGGCTAGCACTGGTTCACGTTGCAGGGGCATTGGTCTCTTGAGGCAGTTCTCACTTGCATGGTCTCAGCCACACACTGTTTCATTCTGTTCCATCTAAGTAGGGCAGACAGCCCTGTCCTTGCCAAAAGCCAGACTCTTCTCCAATACGTTTTGTGTTTCTTCTTCCTCTCTGTCTGCAGACAGACAGCATTCACCGTCCTCCTTTGGGTTCAAATTGAGTTTGCCAAAATATTCTCTTTCTCTGGGAATCCTGAAGTTTCTCTTCTCTTTGCATGTGAGCACTGAAAATATATGTCCTTGGCAAGTTGCTGGCACCGTGTGACCTTGTTTGCACCCTTACTTGCTTGAATAGAGGATTTGTATGCCAGGGCTTAGGAAAGGGTGATTTGCAGGCTAGTAAGGGGTAACGCTGTGATTAGAAATTCCATGATCTGCCAGAATGCACATTTGACCTGCTAGTGTAGAATAGATTATTACTCCATTATGTAAATATTTTTAGGTTCAAGTTTGATAAGGATCAATGACAGAAGTAGTTGGTGTGTTCCTACCTGTCTGTAGAAGTAGTTGCATGCATTGCAGTGCTTGGTTTATAACTGTACAATAGTGGCTTTGATTAATAATGCTTAATTAGTTATAAACACAGACTTACTGACTAAATCCTGCTTACTCTATTGAATGGTTCTCCATGTCCACATAAAACCATTTAAGCAATCAGAATACTGCTATAATGTTTCTCTATATTGTAGACTTTGTTGTTGGTTTTCTGTCAGCTTTCCTGAATTCCTACATAGGATTTCTGCTTGACCACCACTCTTGGTACAAAACCAAAACATGTCCCATAAAGTTGCATTTTATGAAGAGAAAGGACAGGCATGGTAATACAGGGTTTCATAGAATTGTAGAGTCATGAAAAGTTGGAAAAACCCTTAGAGGTCATCCCAAGAAAAGTGGGGGGATGGGGGAAAGGGTGTGTCTCTCCTTCTAACCTTTGCTGTCTATGCCAGGATCAGAGAAATGAGACTGGAGAGGCAGTATCTCTTGTACTACAAAACAATAGAGGAGTATGCCTAAGAAATGTGGCTATAAGGCATCTTGTGGAGAGCTCACCTCTGTCTTTTTCTAGAAGACAAAGGTTTGTAAATCTGGTTTCTTTTCCTCCCCTTTCTATATAAAACACAAAGCACTGGGAATCAGTTATTTTATCTACTACTGAAATGCAGCCATCAGTGCAGAATAACATGAGAACAATTTGAAAGGAAGCATGGAACACTATATTCAACTGAAACTAATTACCTGATTAGGTTTTGGCCTGGCTGTGTGGGTTGACATCCAGTGGACTTGGCGACAATACCTGCCTGTAAAGCCAAGTCTAGTCTTGCTTCGTTTAAAGACCTTGGACAAAACTTCTGGACTTGCATGCTGAATGCTAACCAGTGTGAAAATAGGCCATTGATTTAAAGTACCCATGGCTACAGTGGGTGTTCAGTGGGGAGATGGAATGGTTGCAGAAAAGTGAACTTTTTTGTGGTTTAGAAATACTGGTTTCCATTTAAAGGTGCATACGCTTTTTCAAGCATACACTTGGGTGAAATTTAACTCTATGTCAGAATATCCTCTGTTTACAGCTATGATTGGCACTTTTGTTTCCTTCAGCACTTCAGGCTTCTCCCCTTAGAAACTTAGTCCAAGTCTGACATTGAGATCTTGTAGACTTAGAAAATAACCTTAAGCAATGTCATCTGTCTGCTAGAGTAGTTCCTTTTCTTTATCTCCACAGAAGTTAAACATGTTAAGTCTACTTTATTAGGTGAGAAGCATTTGTTACTGCTGTTCTTGTCTTCTTTTGCACCTTTACTGCAAACACATTTTTGATCTTTTGGTGTTATTGTTTGGAAAGTGACATGTTTTCCAGATGAGAGTACCTGTGCAACATCTGAAGAGTCTAGTGTTTGACATAATTACCAGTGTGATGGTAGTTTCTTTGTTTAGGTATCTCTCTAAAGGAAAAAAAAAATAAAATCATTCCAATTATTAAAATCATTGGAAGGGTTTGAAGCTTTACTGTGAGGAGAGGGATAAGTCTTTCTTCTGTACAATATAAAAATACTCAGTAAGAATAAAGAAATATTTGGAGGTGTTCTAGTCTAGTCTGGGAAGCTTCTGTGCACCCACTTCTGGTACTGAAGAGACCCTCTGTTCTCTTTTCCCAGGGAGAGTGATATGAAATGAACTGCCAAATGAGCAGTTTACTGGTGTCTTTATAAGGAAATTTAGTACACTTAGTCTAGTGTTCTGTAACACCAATTCATTACTAAAATGAATTGGACAAGAGTTGGTAAGAGATGCCCCACAGAACAACAATACGTAATAGACAGCCATAGAAAAAAATTTTTGCCATCTGGCTGACTATTTTAATTTAGCAACAGGCTTATGCTCTGACCTATTCCTTAAAATCTAAAATAAATATTGAATCCTCTCATGTTTACAAACCTTCTTAAACCATTTGCCCAAGAGGCTTTGCAGTTGTGAAGTTCTCTAAGTTGTGTTTAAGCATTTCCTCTTACTACAAAAATAAATCCATCAAGGTTTTGGCCTCATACAAAAACAACAAATACAAGCCTGTAAGTGCCATAAGAGCCCTAAGAAACTTCAGAAGCAATTTGAAATAATAAAAATAGTTTTTTGGACACCCCCTGCTACTTCTGTGGGGAATTAGGCTGGGCTGGGACTCGGGGGCTGAAGAGACATGGGAGTGCACTTTGTGTTACCTGGTTTTCCCTTCACCTCTGCCCTGCAATCCCCAAATCAGCTCTCACCATCTTGGCAAGAGTTTCTTGAGCCTTTGCTAGCCAGGAGTTTGCCCAGATGTTTGGCCCAGGAGTTCACAGAGAAGGAGGAAACGTTTCTGGCTGAAGCTTTTGTAAAACCACCACTTCAGCCACCAAAGCATCAAAGTCCCTGTGGGGAAAAAACAAGTAGTTGGAGAGGTTGTGGAGGGGCGAGGGGGAGCAATGTGACTTTCCAAAGGGCCTGGCCTCTTCCTGATAAGTAATCACCCTAGAATAGAGCTAATCTAGGCAAAGTGATGGGATTATACAGACGTTAAAATCTCCACTTCTTCTAAAAGCATGCATGAAGTACCAACTCCATTCCAGTTCTGTGGTTTGAAAATACATTTCGCCTAACAGCGCCTTGTGTTGCCTTTGCAGGATGGTTTGGAAATTTGCCCTGTCCGTTTTTCTGATGGCAGCGCTGGTTCGAGTAACGGACGCCAGGAAAAGCCGCCCTGCAGGTGCCATTCCCTCCCCGTACAAAGGCAGCGGCAGCAACCACTCGGAGCGGAGGCAGCAGCTGAACAAGGAGGTGTTGGCCTCCAGCCAGGAGGCCCTCGTGGTCACCGAGAGGAAATACCTCAAGAGCGACTGGTGCAAGACGCAGCCGCTGCGGCAGACTGTCAGCGAGGAGGGCTGCATCAGCCGCACCATCATCAACCGCTTCTGCTATGGGCAGTGCAACTCCTTCTACATTCCGCGGCACGTGAAAAAGGAGGAGGAGTCCTTCCAGTCCTGTGCTTTTTGCAAGCCACACAAGGTCACCTCTTCGACCGTGCAGCTGGAGTGCCCTGAGCTGGACCCACCGTTCCGACTCAAGAAAATTCAGAAGGTCAAGCAGTGCCGGTGCATGTCTGTGAATCTGAACAGCTCAGGCAAACTGTGAGAACAGGCACGTAGCTGCTGCTTGGTGTTGTCTCCATCAGCTTTACTGCAGCCTCTCCTCTCCCACTGAGCTGTCCATTTTGTTGATTTGTTTCTTTTTTTTTTTTTTGGTGTTTTGTTTTTTTTCAGGAGGCATCTCTCCAGCAAGGAAAGGCTCCTTGTCACTTGCCTACTGGAATAACACTTTTTAACCGGCTGTGTTAGGCACTTCACCATAAAGTTTCATTGCATTTTAAATATCATCTGGCAGTTGAATCTTCTGGAGTGGAGCAGGCTCACAGAAGTTGGGATTGATCATCTAAGTGACCAGTTGGCTGAATCCAGCATTAAATGTTTCCACTGTGTGGAGTAAAGCCCTCTGCCCTACACTCCAGTTCCCTCCACAAGTTGAGAACACCTTCCCTGTGCTTTGGTCTGGAGCTTGCTTCTCTCACTCGGAAGTGCTGGGGTGCTGCCCAGGACTGGGGGACACATATGAGGGAGAGTAACAAGGAGAAATATGTGAGACTTTCCAATGAGGCTCCGCTCCTAAAGACGGCTTCAATTGTGCAATGACAAATGGTTCTGGGCTTGTTGTCTGAACTGCAGATCAGAAGCAAGGGGAAGAGGGTGAGGCACTGGGTCAGCCACGGTGACCACAGAGCAGACTGAGGGTGGGTTCTGATGCTGTTGTGGTTAGAGTATATTGAACACATGGCCTCTGCAGCAGTGTTTATTTTGTAACCTAGCTATAGTAAACAGCTGTTTAAAGTATTATAGACCTAGCCATGTATATTTTTCTTGTGGCAGAGTATGCCAGCGATTAAAATATGTTAAGAGACTCAGTTGTTAGGTTGGCTGCCTGGGTTAAAATGGACATGGTTTTACTATGCTTTTGGTAGGTTTTTGTATGTTAGATATGTATGTGTGTTTCTTACTCCAAAAAGGACAACATCCATTTATGACCTTATATTTATGCCTGCTCAAACCAGGGGAGGTGGAAGGGTAGTGTGGGGACACATCATTCTGCTTATGGGGATGATGTGTCCCCAAAGGTATAAAAGCACTGTCACACAAAGGACAAAGTTGGTCACTGCTAGACTGAATACAAAAGCTACATAAGTGTCATCAAGTTTTGGGAGTGGTGTCTCTCCCATGATTGGAAACCATGTTAATGTGTTAAAGGACAAATGCCTCAATCAGTGCTGCTGGAATAGGTCACAGCTGTGGGAGCAGGGAGAGAGTAAGTTGTGATTGCTACACTATTGGTGGTCCACTCAGTTTTTGAGACCTGCACAATAAGTGTTGGTGAAAAACTTGCAGTTCATTTTAAATCATACTATGTTGTTATTCAGTTGGAGTTTAACATGTCCTGTATATCCCATTTGTTACAGTTCTGATTTGTATTAGTCCCACCTGCATTAAAATCCTGTCTCAAATCAGTCCCTTCCCCCAAACCAAAGCCAGTGCACATGCAGTTGTCTGAAGCTTACAAATTAAAAATGACACTCTGACTCCCTGTGCATGTCGCACAGTTCAGCATCTGCAGCCTGCTGCCAGAGCCCCTCCCCACCAGCCTCTTTGCATGCAGCCACTTCAAGGGGTTAATGAGTTCAGCACTGTCACCAGATGGGGCTTCAGAGCTACAGGTCCCCATTATGTGATACAGGCCTCCCTAAGAGGCTTTGAGAACCGATCTCCAAAAGAGCTCCAAGCAGTTTACAGGGACTGCTGTGGGCAGGGTGAGGTTGGTCGGGTCTGGCAGCCCTATTACATGAACAAACATCGCTTTTCTGCTGTGACCTTCCAACGCGTCAGAAGTGCACAGGGAGACTCCTCACACAGGGAATGCTTTAGGGGCTGTTGCTGCTGCATCATGCCAGCCCCAGGATGGGCACAATTCAGACTAGTCTTGAGAGCGTCGGTGTGGGTGGGATGCAGATGGGGAAGGTGGCAATATAGTCTAGTAAGACTCTGGGGATCTCAGTCTTCACTTAAGGGAATCAACTGAAAGTCAGATATTTTAGATCAGAGAGAGAAAAGCACCCTAGTAAATTCACTTAAGAAAAATGTGCAAGAATCTTTACCTTCAAGCTATGCCCTGCCTGGATTTTTCAGCAGTTTGCAATATGAATATGCTGCAGCTTAAAGCTCCTTCTAGGAGCTGTGTTTATGTAAAAAACTGAGTTGAGCTTGTACTGGTTAAAACTGTATTTAATTCTTGTTTTATAAATGAAAAAAATGAAGAAATGCTTTAAGTATAATGTAATTATTTTATAGGTCAACTATTAAATTATAGATAAAATAATTAAGTGACTCTAGGGTTATATGGCATCCAGGTGTTTTGCTTCAACAGTTTGTGTCCAACTGCTCGCTAATCATTATATTCTCCAGCTTCCTTTTCATCCTCCTAAATATAGGTGAATTATGGCTCACCCTGACAGCTTGGGAAAACCTAACTACTTCTCCCCTTGTTTCCCACTCCTCTCAGAAGTACCTGGAAGGCAAGAGGGAAAAATAAAATGCATTATTCTTAGATTCTGTAGTTGATTTTGCATGCACTTATTCTGGGTTTTTTGGTAAACTGATGAACAAAGCCCCACCACTGGTTGAAACACTGCTATCATTAATCAGTTACTCCATAAGAGGAGTAACTGACCTAAATAATTTTGTTTAAAATATATATAGATCCTTATGTAACAGGCACCAAACTACGCATAAGGAAAACAAAGTTATATCCTAAGATACAGGTGAGCTTTAGTTGTTGCTATTAGCTCTTTAGCAGGTTCAACATATGACAGTCCAAACATGGGGCAGTATTTTGGAGTTTGTGGTGTTTTTTTTCCCTTACCAAATTTCTATGTGGAAAGTGAGCTGTCACACTGGTTGATGAGCCTCCATGTGACCAGAAGAGGTGCCTGTGATGGGTCTTGAAAGAAGCAGGAGTACCTAGACCACAGCTAGAAAGGGGGGTCCTTTAAGGCACTGTGCTTGCAGGAGCCCTTTGCCTAGGTGTGGGCAGGCTCCCTGCTCAGACCTCCCAAGCACCTCTGTCACTTGGCTGAAAGGGAGCTCAGCAGTCACGTCCTCGAATGCTCCTTTCTCATGAACACCCACCTCTTGGCCAGTCTTCTGCTTTGCAGGTCATGGATTGCCCAGCACCCACCTGAACCTCTGCTGCTTGAGGCAAAGCCCAGACTCCAGCTCCAGTTCCCTGTCTGCTGCTGCCCAGCTGTTGAATCATCATTGTACCAGAGGCATACTCTGTGATCCAAAATTCTCCCACTTGTAGAAGCAATCCAAGAACAAAGCACATCTTTCAGAGTAGATGGAAAAGCTGTAGGTCAGACAAATGCAGTTTCTTAAAGTGGACAAAGTGCTACAGGACAGGGGAAGGGAGGAGAAAAGTGCATGTTAAACTCAACTACAATGGGACTGCCATGTTGGCAGAGCCCCAGTGTAAGGTGGGTGGCAAGTGAAGTTTCTAAGACAGTAAATTTGAGCAGCAGCTGGGAATACAGTGCTGATGCAATAGGGACTCTTTGTGTTCAGAAAGACATTTTTTGAGGCAATGGACTTAACCTCTGGGTGCTCTAATAATTAGCTTGGAAGAATATCAGATAGAGGAACAGATGGGTCAGTTGTAAGCAAGAGAATAACTCAAAGAATCTGTTCTGTAATGAGAATCCTCTTGATGGGTGGCAGACATGAATGGTATTGGGGCATGGTTTTCTCTTTTCTCCCTTTGCTGTCTTGTTTACACTATATATTCAGAAAAACTCAGCTTCATCAGTTTTCGCTTATTCTGTCCACAGTAGTTTAAAATTTGTGTAACTGAAGTAACTAGTATAGTGGATTTGTCACAAATTTGGCTTTGCTTTTAACCTATAATCTGCAACAAAATAATTGCAATGCAATGACTTGCTATATGTTCTCTCAATGGAATTAATATTTGCTTCAAACTTTTTAAGCTGATCACTGAAAAACTGGGCAAGAAAAAAAAGTCAGTCAGTGGAAGATCCCTCTAATTATTATTCCCACTGCCACAGCTGGTTAATACTTAACTAAGTTTTGGAAGTGTTTGGGATGATGAAAGGTGCTACAAAAAAAAGATAACCCACTACAGTGTCATGACGTGACAAAGTGCCATGCTTCTGAAAGGCTTTAATTGGCAGGAAAAACAACATGAATCCTCTTAGCTCCTCATAAAAACCCAAATTGTTCTTGCCAGCACATCGCATCTGCTGCTCAGGTATGAAAGTCCTTCTTTTGCTGTTGCATTTAAGTAACGGTGAGCAATATGTGGTGTTGGCAATCAACAAAGGGTCAGAATTTTGTCTGTGAGAACTCTTGTAGAATTAGGGCCAATTCTTCAGTGTAGAGTGCTTGATGTTTCAGTAAAGAGGGGGATTGCAGCAAATGAGGGGAGAGGGGACCAGTGGGGTGTTCATCCTCTTAAATAAAAAAAAAAAAAAAACCAAACCAAACAAACAAAAGAGCATTGGTCCAGAATTTTGTAAAAAGTTGAGTACGCTACTAAAAACAAAGAGCAGAAGTGTAATTTGTGCTGAGTCCTCTTTGGATGTTCCGTGGGTCAACTGTGGTGCTGCACATAGTGGGCTACTTTGCATGGAGTTTTGAAATAGGCTGGAGAGGAGCTATATAAAAGAGAAAAATGTTCTACCAAATTGGCTGGGTCTTAGTAAAATGAAAGAAAAATCTATGTTGCAGCATGCGTCTTAAGATCATAATATGGTTCCATCAGCTGCAGTCAACCTTTGACACTTTAGAGAGAGAGAGAGAGGCTTGAAATAACTTCTAGCATCCATGCTGCACATCCTGTAGAAAGGGTATGTATGTATGTGATAGATTTAGGAGGTTGCTGGACCTTTTAGGAGGTTGCTATAATGACGCCATTGAGGCAGGATGGTTTGAAAGGACTCAGATTCAGAAGGCTGGGAATAGAACTCTGATTTATTTCAAATACATTGCTCTTTTTATAGAGAATATCATCCAGGCCCATTCTATTGGTCCTAGA